ATCAAGGTTTCCACCACCAGCTTCAGACCCGGGGCTCTGCTGATGACTCTGGAAAAAAATGACAGGACAACGAAACTTTTAATTTTTCTGCACGACCTGTTATTATTCAGCTGCTTTTCCTCTTGCCTGGGCTGCAGTGAGGCTGACACAACCCTCCTCTACCTGCAGGCAGCGTTCAGAGACAATTAGTGACTTATCTGGACAGCCAGAACGTCCCCAGTCACATTAGATGGAATTCAAACCGTATCAGACACCCTGTCAGCAGAGTTGGGCTGCTGCTGGTCAGAGTAGGGAGGGAAGACTCTTTATGGGCAGAATATCCCAGAGTTCCCATTATGGGGCTGTTTGTACCTCTGCCCAGAGAGGTGACCCCTCTGAGGGGGGTCTGATCCAAGCAGAGGGGCCCAAATCAGGCAGGAACCTCCTTGCTCTCACAAGTGTGAACAGATTTACAGTGGTACTGGAGACTCTTTCTGCAGGTGGAAGAGTAGAGGCCTGGGCCCCGTGACAACTTTTGAAACAAAGGAATTCCAGTTTGCTTCCTAATTAGTTCCTGAGCTGCCCCTGAGCTGCCAGGACCCCCGTGAGCAGCAGCTCCACAGCCAAAGGGTAAATCCCATTAGGGAGCAGGTGAGAGGCCTGGAGTGCCCTGAGGCAGGTTTTGGGTATTTTGGAGAACCAAGTGAGTTGCTGCCCTGCACGAGTGCCTGGAGGATGGCTCTCCCATGGGTGTCTCAAAAATGTGCTTGCACACCCAGGTGAAACAACCCCAAGCAAGCTGTTCTGGGAAGGGGAAGTGGGTGTTTTAGCTGAAGAACATCCAAGCTGGTTTTAGGAGGGGTCTGTGGAGGGGACAGGGTGAGTCCTTGCAGGGGGCTGGAGCTCACACGGAATGAGGTCTTTGTGGCTGCCAAGCCCAGGGAAAAGAGCAGAGCTGTGTCTGCAGGGACAGGGCCTTTCCTGTCGGAGAGAAATCGTGTGGAGCCTGAACTGCACCTCCAAAGTGTTAGGAATGGTCCCTGGAGTAACGCTGGGAGAGGCTGTGCTAAGTGAAGCCATAGTGAGAGGTGATGAATTCTTTTCTATTCATAGGAGCTGGCCTAGTTATTCTCAAAGACTAATTTTCTCTTTTCCCTTTGCCTTTCCTCAGGAACTGCCTATGCCCTGAATTCTGTTCCTGGTTATGTGGGTCAGGCAAGTGCCCTGAGGAGCTGCCAGGGTGACCTGGCCAGGGTAACTCAGTGGCACCTGGTGAGCCAGCACTGCCAGGGGACCCTGATGCCACCAGCAGAATAGAGCACGGGAGCAAGAGAGGAGACAGAAAACCCGAAATGACGTGTCACTGAGGAAACACAGAGCAGCAAAAAGCTGCTGTTCTTGTGGTCCTGGGCCTAAAACATTGGCTCTTCCTATCACTCTCACAAGCATGGCTTTGCACCAGAAAGCCTGCAGGTTTCTGGAGGTTTCCCATTTCCCCTGAAATTTCCTTTAAAAAAAGGTTTGTGTTTTCTTGCCAAGCAGGATGGAAATAGAACAGGAGCCGGGAGTGATAACAATCCCCCCAAGCAAGATCACTCTTTGTTATTGCATAATCACAACCTCAACACAAATTCTCTTTCCCCCTTTTCTCCAGCACTGAAAGCTCTCCCAGTCTGGCCCTGGCTGAGGGAAGGGATTGTTGTGCAGTGCTCTTGGTAGGAATGGGAGAGCAGGGAAAGATGCTGGAGCTTCTCAAATCCTTGTCAGCACCTGTTCAATGGCAAATTCTCTGCCATCCAACACCAGCTCTTTGCTGGGGAGGGGGGTTGTGCAGCTGAAGAAGGAGCCAGACTGATTTGTAAAACCCTGATAAAAATGCAGTGTGGAGGAGGCACTGACTGCACTCACTGCCTGAGCACGATAACACCTCTCACTCCCAACTCCAGCCGCTCGTTTCCGAGCTGGAGGAGATGAATTATAACTCATTTCAGTGTTTTCAAACAGTTTCACCACTTTAGTGCTCCCCAAAGATGCTTCTCCTCATATTGCACTTCAGTTTTTCCTGTTATTAAGCCAGACCTTGATGGATCACGTGCATTTTTTCAATCTCTTCGGCGCACCAGCACATACCGGAGAGGTCTCAAGGTCCGCAGAAGTCTCAAAACTCGAAGGACACCCAGGATTTTGGCTCCTCCTGCTGATGCCATGGACACAATAATGTCAATGATAGACACAAAGACCAGGACTCCGTCCAGAACGTTCCAGCTGCTCTGCAGGTAGGTGTTCTCCCCAGAGAAAAAGCCAAGAGCTACCACCTACAGCCAAGAGAGGACAGACATTTAAATCTTCCCCCAGATCATAACCATGCCACGTTCTGGTCTGTGCCAGGCCTCGCTGTGGGCCATGGAATGAAGGTGGAATTACCTTAACCATCATTTCAGCCACAAAGATGGCAGTGAAGATGTAATTAGAAACGCTGAGGAATATCCTTTCCTGTCAAACACGGAACAACAAAGAGAGGCAGAGTTAGAAAACAAATATCTTTTTCTGTTGCAGGGTCTTGCCCTGAGAAGATGAAGATGGGGGATCGAGGAAGGAAATGACCCAGGTGCTCACCGTGCTCTGTGGGTCTATGTCTGGTCTCTCCAGGGCAATAGTGATGCAGTTGAGAAATATAAAGACCAGCACCACGTGATCAAACATTTTGTGGGCGATGACCTTCTGACACATCGCCCGGAACCTGAGGAAATGGTGCGGAGAAAAAAGGTCCTTCAGGTGTTTGGGGCAGTAAGAGATTCCTGCCCAAAAGCCTTCCCCGAGTACGCTATTGCATCACCACAAAAAAACCTGCTGGGCTGGCATTTCACTGCGAGTTCTTACCGATTCTGGGGGGAAAACAAGTAGAGGGACCAGTCTTCGTGAGTCTTGCACCACTGGGGTTTGTAGGGCTCCAGGGCTTTGCGGATCCGGTAGCAGTAACTCTGGATAAAAACAGGAGAGACATCTTTTCTTCCTCTTTTATTTTCCTGCCTCTTCAACTTTCATGGGTTTTTTGTGAAAGGGGGGGAGGCAGTACATGGGGTTTCACAGCGCCTGTGGGCTGTCACAGCTTTTGGGACAGGGCTGTGATGGGTATTGTGTGATGGGCACAGGGAGAAAAAGGGGTGGAAGAAGGGGCTGCTGTGGAGTGACATATAAACATGGCTTCTAGGCAGGTGTTGTTTTGACCCCCAAAGCTGTGCCAAAACCAAAGAGGCCTGAAACAGCCAAAAAGCTAAGTAGAAAACATTCTCTTCAGACTTTCAAGATGTCAAACAGCTCTTGTGAGTAAAGACATTCACTAGCTGTTTTGTCCACAGTTTATTTTTGGAGGCATCCTGGGCCAGGGGGACATTCTTAATCAGTCCCCAAACGAGGCAAATGGATGCACATCCCCTTGTGGGAGACCACTGCAACAGCCCAACTCGGTGGCTCAAAAAAAAAGAGATCTTTTAGGAAGTGAAGGCCCATCCCTCAGATTGGGATTGGTGTTCCCTACCCCAGCCACGAGGCAGCGACACCTTTCCATGGTGGATTTCTAACCAGCCCTCGTGGGAACCCCCAACCTCCCCGCTCCACTCACATCCTCCATGTCGTCCTCGTAGTCCAGGGTGTCCTCCTTGTGCCTGTCGACGCGCAGGAAGAGCTCGCTGGGCACGTGCACCATCTTGCCGTTGCAGTCCTGGAACTCAGGGGGCAGCGCCACGGGGCTCACCCCGAGCGAGTGGCGCACGGGGGGCAGCTGGAGCAGCTCCGGCAGCTCCAGGGAGCTGCGGTAATCCAGCGACTCCGCCCGCCGGTGCAGCGAGGGCCGGCTCACCGTGCTGGACTTGGCGTCGTCCGAGTCGTCGTCGGTGCTGCCCTTGCCCTCCCCCGAGAGCAGGGACTCCCTCTCTCCTGACTGGTTCTTCTTCTTGAGGCTCGGGGCTCTGCCCAGGCTGTTCCAGCTCGAGCGCCGGCTCCCCCAGTTGCTGCTGGTGCCCCAGTTGGCGCAAGGGGAACTGCGGAGGCTGGACTGGGAGAGAAGAACGACACTTGAGGGTTTGCTTGCAGGAGGAAGCCGAGGGATCAGAGAATCATAGAATAGATTGGGTTGGAAAAGACCTCCAAGATCATCAAGTCCAACCCCTGATCCAACTCCAATTACTATATCATGGCACTAAGGGCCACGTCCAATCTCTTTTTAAAAACCTCCAGGGATGGTGAATCCACCACCTCTCTGGGTAGGCTGTTCCAATGCCTGATTATCCTCTCTGTAAAGAATTTCTTCCTAACATCTAACCTAAACCTCCCCTGGCAGAGCTTGAGCCCATGTCCCCTTGTCCTATTGTTGGTTGCCTGGGAGAAGAGCCCAACCCCCCCCGGCTATAACCTCCCTTCAGGTAGTTGAAGAGAGTGATGAGGTCACCTCTAAGCCTTCTCTTCTCCAGACTAAACAACCCCAGCTCCCTCAGCCTCTCCTCATAGAAGTTGTGCTATGTGGTATTTTGGAAGATTGGAAGATCCTTCTTGCTGCAGGTCCCGTCTTCCCCTCCCAGCTTCCCTCACCGCTCCCGTTCCATCAGGCCAAAGCCCTGAGATGGGAGCCCAAGGACACACTGAAGGTGCTCCTGACCCACCCCCGTGGCACAGCTGCCAATCCTCTGTCCTGTGTGACTTCCCTCTGTCCTGACAACACCAATTCTCCAAGAAAACCGAACCCAAAGACACTCCTGCTGAAGTGTTGTTCCTCAAGCCCACAACTTCCCTGCCTTCCAAAGGAGCCCTGGCACCCAAGTGTCTGTTGGGAATCATGCCCCTATTTCCAATATTTTCTCCTCAATTGAATGCATAAAGCAGTGGAATGAATGCTTCTCTCACACAGATTTTCTGGCACGGATCAGGCTGTGCCAGTGCACTTTGGCAGGTTGAGGGAGCTTAAGGGGAGCGCAGAAAAGCCCGAAGGAAACTCCTTTTCTTTCCGTGGTTTCCTCCCAGCACAAAGCGAGGCAAACTGCCTCCCTCCTCCTCCTCCTCCTCCTCAGTGCTGGGCAGCTCTCCTCTGACTGCTTCATCTGCCTCTGGCTGGTGGCACTGATGTGCTCTCCCCAGAAAGGATTCAAACGATGAACAACCCTCTCCAGCACCTCGCAATCCCATGAAAGCCCAAGGCAAACAACAGCCATCTCTGTTTTCTTTTCAGAAGCACCACGTTGACTAAGCAGCTTTACCGAGGGGCAGAGTGGCTCTGCCTCTGCACGAAGTGCCTTCACGGTCTGCTGCCCTGATTGGAACACGATACTGCAGTTACAGAGCACGGAACGGGACGATGAGCGGCAGCAAAAATCCGCTTTGTCTGTTAACCCGCTGCCTGTTTACACAGAGCTGCCCTCCCGCTCCCCCGCTGCAGGCAAGCACAGCCAGCTGCCAGAGCAGAGCTCCAGCCAGACCCCTGCTCTTGTGAGCTGTGCCTGGTGGCAATCCATCAGCTCACTCCTTGTTCCCTCTGCTTCCCCTCCAGCGGGGCTGCTGCACCGTAACCAGAGCTCAGCTGGGTTGGGAGGGGCAAACGATGCTTCATCCCCCTTGTAAATTCAAGATACAACCCCAAAACATCGAGAGGGAAACAGGCCTCATCCTCACAAGGACACCTGGCAGCTTCTCCAAGACACCACAAACGGCCAGTGTGGTTGGGAAAGGATTCCTGCTCCTCCTCTGAGGGGGTTGTTGGGGGTAACTGCGTGAACTCACGACTTGTCTCAGGCTGTGAATTTCAGGTGGCTTGGCATGGATTCCCAAGCAGGAAAACACCGAACGCCGGTGCCTCCTGGAACCTACCAGGGACTTCTGATCGTAGCTCGTGGGGTCCAGGGAAGCGTTGCTGCCTCTCCTCGAGTCCACGAAGGTGTGCACCGAGTCCATGTGCGGGGAGCACTTTGGGGTGGGCATCGGGGTGGCCGCCGTGCGCAGGATGATGGGAGGGGGCATCGACCCCCTGCCCTCCAGGTGCCCGTTGGGGGTGACAGCCAGGGAGTACATCTTCATCTCTGGGCAGAGGGGACAGGGGACACGGGGTGAGTGCTCAGCTACGGGAATCACTTTTCCAAATCACAGAATCCCAGGACGTGCTGAGCTGGGAGGGACCCACAGGGATCATCCAGTCCAACCCTCAGCCCTGCATGGGATCACCCCCAAGAATCACCCCCTGTGCTCCAGAGGATCATCCAAACCCTCCTGGAGCTCTGGCAGCCTTGGGGCTGTGCCCACTGCCCTGGGGAGCCTGTTCAGTGCCAACCACCCTCTGGGGGAAGAACCTTTTGCTGAGATCCACCCTGACCCACAGACACAATTTCAAAACTAGAGCTGAACTGGCTCCTGCTTTCCTGGGCTTGGTGGGCCCTGGTTTCATGTCAGAAATCAGTTCATATTGCAGGACC